GCTGTTCTTTCATTTTGTTTGTAGATACTCATTCTTTGCAGGAAAAGTTACACTTTTTAAAATAGAGATTTTTTTTTAATCCCTATTTTATAAATGGAGTTTGATTTAATAGTAATTCCTAAGATTAGGCAATTCTGTTTCTAGTAGAGAAGACCAGTAGATATTTACCTGAAACAGCAATGCCAAAATAGTGCATGCCCAGAATTGTCTGGTTTTGCTTTTTTTTTTTTTTTTTTTTTTTTTAAAGCAAGGACATGCCTTAGATATGTGCAGTAAGACTAGCGCATCTGGCAGAGTCCCTTTGGGGGCCCTTATTCTGCCTTTCTCCCAAAGCTGCATGATTACTTTGTGTAAGTAAATTCACTTAGTAGAATTTAAGTGAGCAGATCTATAGGAAACTTCAGTTCTTGGTTTGTTTGTGAAACATCTATTAATGTCTTGTGTTGTTGCGATTTACTAGATCATTCAACACCAGCCAGCCAATCTCCTCATTCCTCTAACCCAAGCAGCCTGCCAAGCTCCCCTCCGACACACAACCATAATTCTCTTCCATTCTCCAACTTTGGACCCATTGGAACTCCAGATAACAGGGATAGGAGGACTGCAGATCGGTGGAAGACTGATAAGCCAGGTGAGGTCCAGACTTCAGGGCCTAGTGAAAGTGAAATCACTTACTCTGCCCTTCTCTGGTGTTTGGTGTTTGGCAATGACAGAACATCTTGAATTCTTCGTATCTCTTTGCATCCTTAGCCATGGGTGGGTTTGGCATTGACTATCTCTCAGCGACATCATCCTCTGAGAGCAGTTGGCATCCAGCCAGCACTCCAAGTGGCACCTGGGCAGGCCACGGCCCCTCCATGGAGGATTCCTCTGCTGTCCTCATGGAAAGCCTAAAGGTGAGTGGGTCTTAGGAACAAGAACCACAAGAGATGTCGTTCGGCTTTTGTTCCTATAAATCGCCAGGCTTATTCCTTAGGCCCTTAGAGCCCTTCGATTCATAGCACATATCTAGTGAAGTCCTAGAAACATGGTCTACCTTATAAGATTGAATAGGAATTTTGTTTTTTAAATTTGTGAACTCACTAGTGATAAAGCAGTTATCTTCAAGGGGGACAGAAACAAAGGTTTTAATTGCATTGTAAGGTTAAGACAATTCTGAGTCATTTTGGAATGTTTGATTTAAGCCTTTTGTGAACAAATAAAAGACGGGTATCTAATTTTAGAGATGTTTTGTTTGCCTAAAATCTTTATAGTAAATATTGTGTGGTCCCACGTGGCCCTGAGTTTTAGTAAAAAGTATTTCACCTTTTTTGGTTTAAAATAATCTTAGTGGGAACTAACTGGTCTTGAAGACAGTCTTACAACAACTTTTTCTAATAGCTGGGGTTTTTAGGGGGCAGGGATCTTGGGACATATATGCCTTTATATTTGGTGAGGATTGAGAAGCAGATCCCTTTCAGACATCTAGGCATTTGACCCCTGCTGACAAGCTCTGGGCTGTTTTTCAGTCTATCTGGTCCAGTTCCATGATGCACCCTGGACCTTCCGCTCTGGAGCAGCTGTTAATGCAGCAGAAGCAGAAACAGCAGCGGGGACAAGGCACCATGAACCCTCCACACTGAGGCCAAAGTGGCAACCCTGGGAATGAAGGCTCCATAAACCATGGCATGTTGGGTTTGCAGGACTGGCCCATACAGTTCCCTGCAGGTGGCAGCCCTCTTTTCTGTTTCTTGCTGTCGAGAGGGTGTAAGCGTTCCACCGGCGCGCTGAGTGTGCACGAAATGTCCGCAGTGCAACAAAAAGAACAAAACCATCAGGAACTCTCCGTCCCCCTGGGGCCTTCCGGAGGGAGAGAGGAACTGCTCTTTGTCTCACTCAGTTACCTGATATCACCGCCTCTCACCTTCTCCATCGTGCATGTCCCCAGCCACAAGGGAAGTGAAAGCTGAGAAGGGGAGGCAGATGGGAGAAGCCAACGGGAACTTCTCAGTCCTTTTTTCCTCTTTGGGGAATAAAATAGGAATCCATTAATGATTGCTTTGCTGACTGAGAATGTAGTTGAAATTATTCCTGAACATCTTTTATTATTGTTATTACTCTCAGTAGTAAAATATCACACTGAATTCTTCCACACACAGATGTGCTTCTTCTAGTCAGTGTGCAGCAAGGAAAGCCGCCCTGTTCACTGCTCCTGCGAGAGGTTGGTGGTGACAGGATGGGGAAGCTGACCTCTTCAGCCAGTGGACGTGTTCCATGAGGGGGAGTCCAAGGCCTCAACTTTCACTCAGAAGGTTCTGGCAGGCCCTCCTCTGGCCTGGAGACTCCAGCAGGAAATGCCCTTCACTCTGTAGGTGCTCGAGCCCCAGTCAAGGATGCAGTGTGGGTGGTGGTGCTGGGCTGGACTGGCAGATGACTGCTGTAGGATTTTAAATTAATGTTTTTGATTCCTGTACATTTTACAGTAGCATAGCAAGCAGTCTCACAGAAGGCAGGCTGGTCCATTCGTGGCCTGACACATTTTAATAGGTAGAAGCTTTCAGTGTGGTTATTTTTTGTTTGATTGGTTTCTGTGACCCCCATCCTGCTTACCACCCATCTCTTGTCCCTACCTCCATGCCTTTCCCACCCTATGCTGTCTGCCAGTAATTGTTTCTATTCCTAATGTGTACAACATCTCGCCAAGAAGCAACAGCATGGGGTCCAGAAGTTGGGGCCCGAAAGACAGTCTGAGGAGGAAGGAAGCAGCGGCGTCTGCATAGCGCACGACGGGCCAGGCCCCTGCCCAGCTGCGCCTCCCGACCTCCACTTTCAGAGTGAAATTCAAGGCAACACGGACGCGTGTGCATCATGCACAGAAGAAAACACAACGAAGTCCGTTCTGGAAAAGGCGAAAGAGAAGAAAATAAACTTTTATTTGGTATTTATTAGAAGGAAAGAGGACTGAAAATTTTCTTGTGTAGAAACAGAAGGACAGCATTTCTGTTAGTTCCTGAAAAGTAATATTTTAAGGGGAAATTATGGAAACAATCTAAATGTCCAATTGCTGTGCTAGTGGTAAGGTCTGTTTCTGGGAGGTCTCTGTGTGTGTGTGTGTGTGTGTGTGTGTGTGTGTGTGTGTGTGTGTGTACACGCGCGGGTGCGCGCACCCAGCTGCTCTCCCTGGGGGAGGGGGAGTGTGTGTGAGGGTGTGGAGTCAGTGTGGGACTTACAAACTGGAAGACAGCTGCAGAGCAAAGCACATCCAGGAGCCCCGGTTGTCACTTGAGTCTGGGCAACCCCAGCAATGGAAGGGGTGAGATTAATGCTCGTTGCTCTTCAGAGACAGTGGTTGGAGCCCCGTATGCTTACATTATCGCTCTTTAAGTTTGACATGGTGTTTGGGGTTTTTTGTTTTTGTTTTTTTGTTGTTGTTTTTTTGAAAGGTCTGAAAGGGTGAAGCCCCCCCACCCAATGGCAATATGAAACCCTTTGTGCTTCTCTCCAGCCCCTTCCCTGTGTCCGCCTCTCTCCCATCCCCTCCCTTCCAAGCCTCCTTCCCCACTACCTTGACCCCCTTTGTGTGTTTGAGCTCTGCATTCAGGCAGCTGCCACATTCCAGTGTTTGAGCTGTCCCTGATCCTTGCAGCCTAGACGAGCTAGCCAGGTTCACTGTCTCACTCCCGGTACTGCCCACATCCCATCTACAGCCCTGTTTCTGCATGAGAATTTGGTGTTTGGAATGTTTTCTGACTCTTGGGGCGGGGTTCCTCGCCTTATCATCCTCAATGTGGAGTAATGAGGAGGGAGAGGAGAATCTTCATCAGAAACTGGTTTTGTGTAGTAAACGTTCTCTTGTGTTTTTTTTGTTTTGTTTTGTTTTTTGTTTTGTTCTGTTTTGGTCTGTCTGTGCAAGACCTGCAGCTGCTGAAATCAGCTTTGCCTTTAATTAAACCATGTTCTCTCCAACCAGATCTGTGTGTACGTTGTTTCTTTTCTAACCTAAAAGAATATCCTACTTAGAAAAACAAGTGTTTAAACTACTTAGAAGTCATCTAGGGGAAATCAGAGATGGTCAGAAATTGAATATGCTTCAGGGTTATTTATGCTTTCAGTAGCATTCCAAACCAGTGTGCATTATTATAGAAAGGGATGGGTGAAAGAAACTGTCAAAATTATTTTATCTAATGAATAAAGATGGGCTTATGCAAAGAAGTTAACAACCCTCCATTTTTATCCCTATTTTTACTGTCAGTGGGACAGTGCAGAGATGGTTTCTCTTTCTGGTCTATAAACATCACGAAGTCTGATTAGCCCCAACGGTAATTAGTGTTCTTAGCTTTGAGGTTGCGTTTCTTTGAATTGTGTCCAAAATTTCCAGTGGTAGCCTGCCGGGCCTGCAGCGGCGGGTTGGAGGTCAGTGCCACGGCCTGCCGGTTTGTGTGTTCACTCTGGTCAGCAAGCCTATCACTTCTGTGTTGATTGCATCTACACATCATTTCCTAACTGCTTTTCACAAGCACCTGCACACTTGAATGGTTACAAAGCCATACATACTGTACAAGGAGGAGAGAGGGAGGGAAATGAAGGCAAGGTTCTAAGGTCTAGTATTTGTTAACCCCAAGTTAACCCTAAAAAATCAAGCCATTTGGTTAAGTGATAACCAAAATAAAACCATAGCATTCTCTCATGTATATTAGCATAGTCCATATTATAAAACGTTAACTAACAAACAGGATAGTCCTGACCAAGTGGCTTCCTGAATGGGGCTTCTTTACATCACATACTCAGTATTCCTGAGAAGGCATGAAGGGGTGGGATTCTAGTATTTTAATTCTCTATGGAATTGAAAACTAAGTCTAGGTTCTGTTTAAGCAATGAGACTTACAACAGAGGAAAGTTATTTTTGTGTGTGTCTGCCATCTGAATTACCTGTAAATTTACTTCAGGCTCAAGGAGTCTGTGACTGTCGTGGTACCGGAATAGGGGTACTTAACACTTCAGCCTTGGGCCTGTACTTTGTGTCTTGTTTTTGTAAGTTTTTATTGAGGTACCACATCCAGAAGTGCACCAATAGTAAGCGTACAGCTCAGTGAACTTTTACAAAGTGAACACATTTGGGTAGCCAGCACTCCGAGCAGGAAACATTATCAGTACCCTAGAAGACCCCTTCATGTCCTTCCAGATACTTCCACTCACTCCATCCCACCCGCCAGGGTCATCATCATGATAAGTTCTCCCATCATTGTGTAATGGGTTAAATTTTCAGTGGGAAAAGTGGACTAGTTAACACTTCCAAACAGTGATGTCTCCCTACAGTGTACTGCAGGGGCATGCTTAAAACTCACAAATGATTATAGTTACTTTTCTCCAACTTTGTAGGTTATGGAACATCCTAGACTCCTCTAGGAGATCTTTCCGAATCTGTAGTTGCATGTTCTTCAACAAACGCTTTGGGGAAAATGCCAATCTTCCCTTTGCACTCTCCTTCCAGCCAGTCTTCATTCACTGATAAAAGGAAACGTATACATCAATTTTTAAAACCAATATAGGAGAATTATCTCATCTGGATATGCCACACAGATCTTTGGCAGTCCTTCACCCCCAATTGTGATAACAGGGAAAAGTCCATGTCGGAAAGTGATTTGAGGGAAAAGTGAACATACGACTTCCACCATCTTACTGATTTCTGTCTTAATATATGATAACGGAGGAGTAAAATACAGAAAACCAATTAGATTTTTCAAAAAAACTGCCAGAACAAAAAAAAAGATGAAAGAAATTGAATAAATCTTGAGATAGGATTTTTTTTATAACAGTTTTACCTGATCACTGTTAGTAATCTTTATTCTGACTACATGCCATTAATTAAATACCTTAATCTTTGGGGCACATGGGTGGCTCAGTCGGTTAAGCATCCAACTCTTGATTGCAGCTCAGGTCATAATCTCAGGGTTGTGAGATCGAGCCTTGTGTCGGGCTCTGCGCTGAACATGGAGCCTGCTTAAAATTCTCTCTCTCCGGGACACCTGGGTGGCTTAGTTCTTTAAGCGTTTGCCTTTGGTTTAGGTCATGATCCCAGGACCCTGGAATCAAGTCCCACATCAGGCTCCCTCTGCCTGTCACTCCCCTTGCTTGTGCTCTCTCTCTCTCTCTCTCTCTCTCTGACAAATAAATAAATATAATCTTTAAAAAAAAAAAAAAGATTCTCTCCTCTCCCTCTGCACCTACCCCTGTTCACTCTCAAATTAAAAAAATAGTTGATCTTTGAACAACACGAGTTTGAACTGTGAGGATCCACTTACATACAGATCCTTTGTTACAGCACAGTGCTGTAAAAGTATTTTCCTTACGATTTTTTTCTTTTTAAGATTGATTTAGAAAGAGAGCATGAGCCGGGGGAGAGGGGTGGGGGAGGGACAGAAATCTAGGAGACTCCCTGCAGAGCATGGAACCCCGAGACAGGGCTAGATCCCAGGACCCTGAGATCATGATCTGAGTTGAAATCAAGAGTCAGACACAAAAGGAATATGCCACCTTTTTTCTCTCCATATCTATCCAGAAGGTTTTTCTATGTGTGTTCTAGTTTTTATCTCATCCCCCCCCCCCCCCCCCAAACAAACCGGGCAGTGTAGCTGGTTGGTTGATATTAACACTTAAAAAATGGTGCTGGGAGTTACTAAGCCCTACTGACCCCTGTCAGAAGACAGGCACTGCCAGGGTACCCTGCTTCTTTATTTCATTACTCATATTTTTAGTTAATTGCCAGACAATTGTATACTCTACCCCCATTAACTTTAAAATCTCATTTCTTCATCTTTTGGATGGTAATGGAATTTGTTTTCACTACTCTGCATTGCTAATGCACATTTCTGCTGTTTGAACAACACTTTTTTTTTTTTTTAAAGATTTTATTTATTAGAGCATGAGCGGGGGAGAGGGAGAAGCAGACTCCTCACTGAGCAGGGAGCCCAGTGCGGGCCTCAATCCCAGGAACCCAGGATCATGGCCTGAGTGGAAGGCAGACGCTTACCCGACTGAGCCAACCAGGTGCCCCTGAACAAAGCTTTTGATGGGACTCTTGTTTTGAAGTAGAGAAATAAGATTATGTCAAACTGTGAGTTAGAATTCGTGCTTCTCTCTGTCAGAAGATCAGCATCACACTGGAAGCCTGTTAGAAATGCAAATTTGAGGCCCCACCCCAGACCTGAATCAGAATCTCTGGTTGCTGGGCCTGTGAATTTTATTTAACTTTCGAACTGGTGCTTGGGCATACTGAAGTTTGAGAAGCACTAAATTAGAACTCTACTTAAAATACTGTTTCAATTTGTAGTGTGTTTGATTCCTAACAGGATGAGGAAGGTCACCAGAGACACAAAGCAATGTCGAGTAGCTTCTTTTAAGGCAAAATTTATGCACTCCTTCCCTCATCTTCAAAAAGTACATCAGTTCAGAGAACTGGGGTTTATAGGAAAGTATCCTATGGCTTGGTGCAAAGGCAAAATGATGCCAGCCACCTTCCAGTTGGCTTACTCTGGGAACGAGAATGCATGCCTTCCAAAACACAGCTATTTTTAATGATCAAAACGTCAGCTGAGTCTGTCATTTGTTGCTTCCCTGCCCATTGGAGAAACAGATGGAAAGGCTGAGCCCTCTGTTCTGCTCCCTCCCGCTGAAAGCTAGGAAGGAGACTGAAACCACTGGCTAAAGTTTGGCTTGTAGGTTATTAATGTTTCTCCCTCTCTTCCCTTGAACTTATTGCTGCTCACATGGAAATTAGTTTCTATGATCCAGGAGTAGTACTTACCCATTGATATAATCTGGATTATGTCCCCTTCCTGAAACTCCAGGTCTTCCGGCTGGGTGGCTTCGTAACTGAAGAGTGCTACCACTTGGCCTCCTTCCTTAAGCTGAGGTTCTGTTGTCTGGTTTTTAGCTTCAGATTTTTCACTTTCCTTGGGTTCATCTGGAAAGCCTTGGTCACCCTGAAATAATAAAAGGCCTGTTAGTTTCCTCAACTTTTTGGCCAGTGAACGTTGAGCATCACTAAAGGAATCTGTGAAATGTCAATGTAGCACCTGGGATATAAACTCACAAAGGCCAAGTCTGTGATCAGTCCCTAGCATAGACCTAATGTGTACTTTAGGAATATAGGATGGTTGGATAAATGAACCCAAAAGGTCTGCAGGACCATAGATAGTCTTAAAATCTTACAGAAACCTTAGAGTAATCCTGAAAAAGGTAGAATAGGTACTACTGTTACTTCTTTGCAGGTGGAAAAACAGAGATGGAGTCACAAGTAAGCGACAGAACCCAAAGTCAAACCTGGGTTTCTAACTCTGAATCCAACACCCTCTCCCCAGCACCCACAATACTAGGGACCTCGTTAGAAACCTACTGAATAATAAACTCGCTGCATGTGGGGCCCAGCAATCTGCATTTTAACAAGCCCTCTAGGTGAGTCTCATACCTGCTAAAGTTTGAAAAACCCTGCAGAGCGCCATACCGTCTTTCTAAGGCCATGAAAAAAGGCTTTGCTTTCTGATATTTGTAACTACACATCTTAGTTACCATTGTGGTCATTTTTCATCCACAAATGTTGAAAAGAAGAAGGGTACAGTTTCTAGGGATGTGAATCATGGGATTTAACAGACCCACGTTAGAAACCCCGCGAGGGTAAGAGCTGTTCTGAGTGTTCAAAGTTCTCACTTCCTAATGTCGCTTGTTCCAGCCCTGGCAGATCCCTTTTATTGGAAGGCAGTACAGTGAGGTGGAAATGGTTGTAAGGAGTCTAAAGGCCTGGGTTTGTATCCCAGCTCCACTGCTCACTGGCTGTGTGTCCCTGAGCAAGTGGGGTAGCCTCTGTGAACTTCAGTTTCCTCACCTGAAATAGAGGCTAAAAGAATGAAATGATATGATGTAGAATAGTAATAGCTGACAACTATTTTTTTTAGATTTTATTTATTGGAGAGAAAGCACGCATGTGTGCATGTGAGCAGGGGGAGGGGCAGAGAAAGAGGGAGAGGCAGAGAATCCTCAGCAAGCTCCATGCTGAGCCAGCGCGCGGAGCATGACACAGGGCTCCATCCCATGACCCTGAGATGGCAACCCCAGCCAAAACCAAGAGTCGTACGCTTAATTAACTGCACCACCCAAGCGCCCCTAGCTGACAATTATTAAACTCTCAGAGTACTAAATATATACATACATAGATTTAAACTTGATTAATGGTAAGCCTGCATAGAGTAGATGCTTAATAAATGATCGTTCATTTTCCTGCTCTTCTAGTAAGTGAATGAGAACATCCTGACTTGCTGCCTCCAAGAGTAGGGGGTAGTAATAAAGAATGCTCGGCAATGACCTCTGAAGCTGAATTGAGTCCCAAAAAGACTGTGTTGGGAATCTGGGGAGAGTTAGCCACGTACAGCCACTAATTAGACTGAAGCTCTCTTCAAAGAACAAAGTGGCTCAGATGGTTAAGCGTCTGCCTTCAGCTCAGGTCACGATCCCAGGGTCCTGGGATCGAGTCCCACATCGGGCTCCCTGCTCCTTGGGAGCCTGCTTCTCCCTCTGCTTCTCTCTCTCTCTCCCTCTGTCTGTCATGAATAAATAAATAAAATATTTAAAAATTAACAATAATTAAAAACAATAAGTCTTTTAAGGGAAGTAATTCAGATTTAGAGAACTGCTAGGCAGAATCCTTTTAAGACAATACTGAAAGGATTAGTCCCAACATAGACCATCGAAAACCTTAGGATGACCTTTCAGACTTCCACAGGACCCCTTGCACTGGTTACCTATTCTACCCCATCCCCCACCCAATGTCCTGGGGCGCCAGTGAGTCCAGGGGCCGTACTTCCTGAACACAATTTTCTGAACCCTTAGATACCACCAACCTGGGGCTTACCACGGGGCCTTCCTCCAGGCCCACGCTCTTTACATTCCTCTCCCACTCATTTTTCTTTCCCAGCAAACATGTATCTGACATCATTGAGAATCTGCCAAAGAGACCCTTCCTTAAGTGAGCACAAGCCCTTGCCCAGCTGTGGGGTTGAGGGTTTAGAGGGACTCCGCCCCCACAGGGCCCACGGCCCCAGGCCTAGATGGTGTGGAAGAGCTTTGCCAGTGTGCTCATTTCCATGATCTCAACATCCATTCAGAGGTGAAAAATAGTAGCTCTCCAAAAGGTTCACGTAGGACCTGTGGAATTTTATACCCCTTACTGATGTAACTGTAGATGCCCCCACAGTCTAAACATGCTAAAGCCGGAAACGGGAGAACTGAAGGTGTCAGAGGGGCCCCAGCTGACAACGGTTTTAGTCAGCGGAGACTGCAGTCTCCTTGATTGTGTCCTGTGACTCCCCAGGGTCAGGACTGGATGGGCTGCTGAGCACTCGAAGAAAGCCCGCTGGCTGGCCAGCCTCCCAGAGCCTGCTGCCTTGCTCATAGGCCCCTGAATCATCCATCCCAAGCAATCATTCATCGTATTTTCTACCCGGCTCACAACCTCATCTGAGTGCAGCAGTGTGCAAGGCCTTCCATGATGTGGCCCTGTTGCCTTCCAGACTGTTTCTTTGTGCCTGTCACCCCTGCCAACTCGTAGGGTCTTCCCTCTGCTCTTCCATCTATATAAGTCACCCTAACCTCCTCCACCTTGCTAATTTCTATTTACCATTTTAAGGCTACACTTCAAGACAATTTCAGCATCATTCTCTCTAGGAAGACTATTTGACTCTTGACTTGTCCCACCTTCCTTCAGCATTTTTGGGTGAGACACCCTCCCTTGTGCTTATAAAACACAGTACACCATTCGTGTGTCTCCATCAGTTCTTAACACATGCTTTGTAATCATGTCCGCCCTTGTCTTTCCCCCAAGAAGAGCCTGTGTCTTGTTAGTGTTTATATTGCCAGTGCCTGTCAAGAGAGCAGTAAGTGCTCAGCAAGTGTTTGTTGAAGAATAAATGTCACTAGACAAACACTGGAAACAATCCAGATGTCCACGAACGGGTAAATCAATAAACAAATTGCAGTATTCATATTGTGGAATACCGTTTAGGGATACCATTAGCGGTCAAAAGAAATGGGACCATTACAACACAAAAATATATATAAAAATGGAAAACTATATATTGAAATGTACTATTATAACAAAGGTTTATATGTACAGTATATATATTCACAGGAATGTTCCATTTATATGAAATTGATGGGCTATTAAAAGTTTATATATACAGTTATATTTATATAATATATACTTATATAATATTTTATATATCTAAATATATACTGTACATGTAAACTTTTAATAGTCCATCAATTTCATATAAATGGATCATGTGAATTCACGTGAATATATATATTGTACGATCCATTTATATGATGCATTTATAAGAAATTACATAAACGCTGAAAAAACATACATCGGTATGTTGACAGAATGCAGATGGATAGTTTTCAGGAGCCATGGTTGTGGGAGGGAATTAACCTCAACAACAAAAAGAAATAGCAACTTTTCCCTTGGAGATAAAGGGACAAAGTCAAGAGTGTTAATGTGTAGCTACTACTTCTAGCCTCTAACTTTGCCCCTAACTCCCTTTACTCCTACTGGCCAGTCAGTTAACTCTGTTCTGGGCTCTGAGGTCTAGAAAGGGGTTCAAGAATACAGGCCCTGGAATCAAAATACTCACTGGGCCCCGGTTCCACTACCGACCTGCTGTGTAATCTTGGTCAAGCTGACCTCTCTTTGCCTTATTACCTAAACTGTGAAACGGGCTAACAATACCTCACAGAGTTGTGGGGCCTGTAAGAATGAATACGCAGCGTGCACTTAGCCCGGGACCTGGCACGGGGGAAGCTCTCAACAGATGCTGGCTATTAGTGGGATGTTGTAATCCAAATCATCTCCCCATGAAATAAATGCTCACTACTCTTTTCCACTCTCGCGTGTTCTTCCCCATGGGAACAAACAGTGAAGAATGGCTAGGAGCTCTGCCTCAAGCTAGGATTTCATTCCAACCTTGCTTGATAGCAATGGGCCTACCCTTGGAACGGTTAGGTGTGGCCGCAGACAGAAGGGACTGGGAGGCTTCTGTGTGTTGTCGGGCCTGCTCTTCCCTTGCGGGGAGCCCTCTCCTGGCTGCCCCCGGGGTGCAGGGCAAAGGGACGCAGAGCTCGTGACTCACCGGATCCTCAACACCAAGCACAGTGCCAAGCTCATGGACTGAGCACGGTAAACGCTGGACTGTTGTTGAGGAAGTGGCCCAATAGATACAGGACCTTAGGTACCCTCACTGCACTCACCACTGTGTTCTCACACCACAGAGTCAGGCTGTAGTTTTTCACGTGGCCCCAGGCAGCCTTCATGTTATCTTCTGAAAGGGGCACCAGCTCATTGCTGTCCGGAGGCCGATAGCTGGGGAGAGACGAGTAAGAACCAAGCCAGAGAACATCAGTACAAAACCATTGCCTTCTCCCCTCTGGGCCGGCACCAGGTCTCCAGGTGTAGCCCCGCTACCTTCATGGACTCACCTCAGCTTAGTGTGTTCTGGCAAGAGCTCCAGTTTCTTAGACACCATGTCCCGGACCTGGCTATAGGGGAGCCCGGGCTGAGTCTCCATGACCACCGTGTACTTGTAGTGCACCTTGAGTGTGTAGGGCATGGGAACGCTGAGCTTTACTTCCTGAGGGAAGAGGAAGCAGAGGGGGCTCATTAGAGTCTGCGGCCTCCTCTTAGCCCCATCCTAGATCAGGGGGAGTGTTCTGTGCAGCAGGGAGAGGCCAAGGGCTAACTGGTTTCACAGTAACGGAAAGGGGCTTTCAGAGGGCCCGTAGCCCCACTCCTGCCTGGATAGGAATTCCTACGGAGCCAGAAGAGGTGGCCCACACGCTCTAGGCCAGTAGGAAATGTGTGCACGGGGGTGGGGAAAGTCATTGCGGGGGTGCCTAGCCCGTGGACTGTGTGTATGGTGGTAACTGGCCCACCCTTCCTCTGGACTCCTTCTCTAACCCAGGGACACATGCTCATGGTGGAGAGCCTCAGCTTTTACTTTCTCTACCACTTGAAAGAGTACAAGGGGGGTGCCTGGGTGGCTCAGTCGTTAAGCGTCTGCCTTCGGCTCAGGTCATGATCCCGGGGTCCTGGGATCGAGCCCCGCATCGGGCTCCCTGCTCGGCGGGAAATCTGCTTCTCCCTCTCCCTCTCCCCCTGCTTGTGTTCCCTCTCTCGCTGTGCCTCTCTCTGTCAAATAAATAAATAAAAATCTTTAAAAAGAAAAAAGAAATAGTACAAGGATAAAGCTTACCTTGGGCTCTTCTTTCTCTTTTTGACCTAAACGGAGAAGATAGGAAGTAAAACAAAAGAAGAAGATGAATAAACACTCCTGGCCAGCCCCTGGCTTCCACAGAAGGAAACCTCTTAGAACAGGACACCCAACTTCTTACCTTTAAATCTCTGGGGTGATTCTTAACTTTAATAAACTGTAGGGGAAATCGCACTCAGGGGAAATGTGCCAGGCAAAGCACAAACACACAGACGAACCCAGCGCCTGGCTCAGGGGGAGCATACGGGCAAGTATCAAAGGACCATCACACCCCAGCAGTGCATGGGGTGAGCAGGGACCCCAAAGTCCAGCTAAACCAGTGGGCTCTGCGCAATGAATGCAGGGAGTGCAAGATGAACCAGGGCCACAAGGAGCAATGTTAGAACCACTTATTTTTCCCTTGTCCTTTATTTTTGTGCATGTTTCCTAATGTGCATAATATATTAATATGACTGTATGCACCTAATTTACGTAAGAGAAGTCTGCATAAAGATACTCACTATAGAGGGTGCACAATGGAACAAAAGGCCACTGATCTCATACCCAGCTAATCATTAGAATCACTTGGAAGGTTTTTTTCTAGAAATACAGATTCTGAGGCCCAATTCCAATCCTGAAGAATCAGAATCAAAGGCCTAGGAATCTATATTCAGAAAATTCTCCTAGGTTAATATGTGATCCTTGATGGGCCCCTAGACAGAAAAGGTAAAAACAAAGCTATCGAGGATGTTTTGAGGGGTAATTGGAGAAATGTGAATATGAAATATACACTCTATAATATTATATTAACGTTCAATGTCCTAGATGTAACAACTGTGTTGTGGTTATGCAGGAGAATAGGAGATAATGCTCAAGTGTAGGGCAAAGGGTCATGAACCTGTAAGTTCCTTTCAAGTGGCTCAGAGGAGAGGGAGGGGGAGCAGGGCAAGTCCTTGGTACAAAATGTTAACAGTTGGTGAATTTAGGTGAAAGGTATTCTGGCATTTATTGTACTACACTTTCAACTTTCGGCATTTATTGTACTACACTTTCAACTTTCAATCTGTAGGTTTGACAGTTTTCAAAATAAAAATGGAGGTGTGGGGAACATCTCAAAGGTTTCTGGTGTTCTGGGAGGCCTAACAATCATGGATCTAGGATCTGGACAAACTACCTCTTCAATGCGTCCCTACTGAGCACTTATCCAGAATCAGTTTAAACTGCATTCGTGACCAAGAGCCCCTTACTTCCCAAGGCAACCCTCTCCAAACATCAGGAGAATGTCCTTTGACATCTGCCCTCGGTTCATGGTCTATCCCTCAGGGCTCTGCAGAGCAGTTTTGTTTCCAGATAGAGCTCCTTGGACATTTGAAAAGAGCCACTCTGTCCCCCTCTGAAGTAAACATGTGCAATGACTTCAACCTTTCCTCCCGGGACATGGTTTCCGTACCTCATGACGGAGGGGTCTGGTGTCTACTTGAGTTGGAACACTCACTGCCCCCCAGAAACCAGTTACATTTACCCACGCCCCGTGGGTTTTCTGGAGTAGGTAGGTAGAAAGGGCATCTATTTCCTATGTTTTGGGTGGGTGGGTGGTGCTGGAGAGAGGGGCCCTGGGGCTGTGGGCTCATAAGCTGAGCGGCATGCTGGGAGGAGCAGAAACCAGAATCTCCTAGAAGGCTGGGAGAGCAATGCTCTGTGAGGAAGCAGCTGGGAGCTTTCCTGCACCCAGGCCAAGGGTGTTGTTCCAGGGACACCAACCGGGTGGCAACTGGGGTCTTCCAGGAGCGCTGGAACTGGGAGGAGCTGGGATATCAGACTCTGGGGAGGCTTCCTCCTGGAGGTGACAGAGATGGTGAGAGCCTTCATTCAGACAAAGTTTTTAAGTAGGAGTGGGGGAGGGGGGCCTCATGAAAAGGAGCCAGGGGCAAATGGCTTCCTAAAAGTTGGAGTGGTGGTGACATTTAGGGGAGACTAAGGAAAGTGCTGGTTAAAGGGGAGGCAGGGTTGGCCTGGTGGGAACAAATCACAGTAGAAACAAGAACCTTAAGCCCCACCTAAAAGGCCCTTGCTGCCTAACACCCCTTTTAGCCACACTGGAAGTCTGCTGGAGCTGAGGGAGGACCCTGAGTCTTGTCTCAGCTCACCCTCTCGCTTCACATCTTGCCCCTTCAAAGGAAAAGTCCACTGCTCATTGGTATGGCATTTAAAACATTTCAAGTCATCTGTGTAGAGAAAGTCGGAGCAGGGAGGGCCAAGCCCGCCGAGGACAGCTGGTTGCCCAGGGTCCAGAGAGACAGGTCAGACACTGCCAGTCCTCTGCACGGCAGCTCAGGTCCAACAAAGACCACCAGCAGAAGGGCCGGCCTCCGAGGAGTGAGGATGGGGCCGCGGAGGGCAAGGCCTACTCTGATTCCAGACTCTAAAGCGGATTTCTCTTTGTTAATGGCGCATCACCCGCCAACACATTGACTGTTCTTCTAGGTGAAGAGGACATTTCCGGGAAGATCTAGCCTTCTTATACTACAGGCTTTGGGTCCCAAGTCACCGCTGACCAGGAGGAATCAGAGAGATGGGGTGGGTGGGCCCAACAGGTCCCTCAGACGCCTCCACTCAGCACATCTGGGGGCTCTCCTTCCTCCCCAGGTTCAGCTGGGCTCTGGGCGGCTGGTGCCAACCCCAGGTGGACTCAGGACTAGTGTCCCTCCTGCACCTTGTCCACATGGCCTGTTCCCCGCCCCCCCCCCCCCCCGAGGGGCCTATCTGTGGTGGGACAGAGGCGGGCGGGAAGGGGTCAGGCCTTGGCACTACGTTACCTGGGGCTGCTGCTGAGCTTGGATCCGCAGCTCCACCGGCTCAAGGTAGTTGCAGGGAACGAGCCCCTTCTACGGCGCAGCATCGCGGAATTGGAAAGGTGAAGACAAGTTTGCACTCATCGGGCCTCGGCGGACCCGTACCACCCAACAGCCCAGGGACGTGGGGCAGGGGTGGCCGTACAGACGAAGGGGGGCAGCTGGTCTGCGAATGAGGTGGCAAGTGCTGCTCCTCAGAAAGCTTTGCCATTTGCTGCCAGGATCCCGTGGCCAAAACCCCCACCCCCTGGTCCTCCGAATACCTGCCCGTTGAATAAGACTGTTGCCCAGTTATCGTTGCCTTTCTTCAAGACAAAGACGATGTTCCCTGGCATGACCTGCAGCTCCTCTGGCGTCTCAGGCACAAACCCAAACAGCACACGGTGAGCTTCCCCTTCCAGAGCCCTGCGGGAGATAGACGCGAGAGTCCGTCCTCTCTCTGGCCTGGATCGCATCCCGCCCGTGGCACCGCGGGACAAGCGACGGTGGCCCTGGGCCAGGAGACCTGCTCCGGGCACCCTCCAGCTCGGCATCGAGCTGCCTCTGGGATCTGAGGGGGACCAGGCAGGAAGCTGTGTGTGAACACGCTCCATAACCACGCAGGCGGCGGGACAGGAAGGAAAGCCGGAAGCACACAAGACACCCAGGCCGAGCCCTCCAGCCCTCCCTTCCCCTCTCAGGAGGAAGCTAGCCGGCTGTGCGGGGCCAGCTCTCAAGTCTGGGCTGGGGTGGGGGCGGGGGGGATCGGGCTCGTGTGGCAAGGGGAACACACGGGGAGGGGGGAGAGCCAGCTTCTCAGGGCTGGGAAGGGGGAGGTGGGCGGCGGGGGGGCCAAGTCACCTGGGGGTGGGCACACAGCTGGAAGTGGGTGAAGAGCCAGAGGCCAGCTGTGGGGAGTGGGGGGATGTGTAAAGGGGTCCTGAGGCCAGCCAGCTGTGGGACATGTCATTGTCCCTTTACCATGTCCTTCAGACCTACTTTGCCCTTGGAGGCTCTGGCGTGCAGTCTGTGCCTCCTTGGAATGTGTGGCTGCAGGGCTGGCTTCGGGGCTGCCTGAGGTACCTCTCTGGCCTGGGGGTGGGGGGGCGGGGGGGCTCCCTCTCACCCCAGCTCTCTCCCCTTCCCCTCAGCCCTGCTCTCTGTTTCCAAACAACGGGCTATTTGCGTGGGGGAGACAGACTCCTCCAGCAGGCAGAGTTAGCAATGAGCTCATCAGCCCCCTCATTTTTATAGTTGCTGTGGTACTTTTTTCATTTTTTTAAAAAAACCTTCTGTGTTGGGTGGGGGATCCGGGCTTGCTTCCTTGCTTAGAAGACATTCTTAAGAAAGCTGCAAGTTGTGTCATTCTTGGCTTCCCATCTTCTAGAAGAATGGCTTCCTTTGCTTGACTTGTTCCTCTCACTTTTCCAGAGACCATGTGTCCAGAGGGAGTGAAAAACACCCCCTCAGGAAAGGACACACCGTCTAGCTTCCCACTTTGCTCACTCGGCTCCAGAAAGCTCTGGCCTCCCCTTCTTCTGAAGAGGCTACAGTCAGGGCGAAACTGTGCTCCAGCCTCTGGTCAGAGGGGCGATGTTCCACGGACACCGCTGCCCTTCAGAGGTGACCACCGTGTGTGGGTGGCTGTGCCCGGGGACCTGGGGACCCCTGTGATCAATCCTACCATAGTCAAGACTCCCATCCTCCCTCCATTACTCCACTCTAACCTTGAAAACAAGGAGAGCCCACCAACAAGGCTACATTCCCCAGGACTCAGCCCCTGACCCCAGCTTCATCTTCTTCACCCCCATTATTGCCATAGTTCAGGCTTGGAGCGCGGATATTCTGCATCCTGCCCTAAATCGAACTTACCTGAAGATCTCCGGGGTTTTGGGTCTGGGTGGAGGTTCAGCGGCCTATTGAACATTCAGGAGGAATGAAGGGAAGGAGTGGGGGAGAGAACAGAGTGTTAATGGTAATTTGAGCTTCTCCCAGACCCGAAAATCAAAGAATGCCTGTCAAGCTCCATGGGAGTGCTGTCGAGGGAGAGGGCACCTCGCACCCTGACTACCTGCTGGAAAATAACCTCTCCCACCAGCTCCCCGGGGCCAGGTGTCACTAGCACAGCAGTTCATCTTGAGCCAGTCCTGGTGTCCGGAGAATTTTCGCTGTCACAGAGCCACATGGCATCACGAGGGTGCTTTTGACCTTGAGCGCTGTCCCTTTCCTAGGACAGTTTCCAAAAGCTCTGTTCTATAATTAATGTCTGCTGTATCACGTGACACTTGTGGGTATTTAAAACCCACTCAACGTCCCCTGACCAGGCATAAATCTCCTTTCGGTGTGTTCCCTGCTCTACACCAAAAGTCATGGAGTCCACTGATCTGGGCTGCTTCCACCTTTTGGAGTCTCCGGCTGCTCTGAGGCCCTGAGGTGGGTGGGGGGGTCCTCCCCAAGGGTTTTCTTCAGCTTCATTGTGAAGACACAAAGCAAAGGATCCTGAATCTCTTGATCCTCCTTGGCTCCCCTCACCCTCCAGAGCCCGGTGTCGGTCCCATTCTGGGCTAGCCACCGTCACTGCCCCTGGGAGGCTGTGGGTGCTGCTGTGTGCAGCCTGGAGGGGGTGCCACGCTCACAAGCCCCTCGCCTGCACAGCCAGTGTGTGGGCAACGGCGCTCGGATTTTCCTCAGCCTGGCTTACCTTCTTCCCCTCACAAGGAGGGAAATGCCTTCATGTTTCTAGACCTACTGTCACCCAGTCTGCCTGGAAGCATCTCTCTGAGCCCAGGCCGGGCAGAGCAACAGCTGACTGGGGGCACCCATCGTGTTCCCAAGGGGATCCCCTGCACATGGTCAGGCCCCACGGAGGCCTCATCCAAACACCTTCCATAGCTTGTGTTCCAGTTTCCTGAGAGACTAGGCCAGGCTTCAGGAGAGAACGTCAACAGAAGCTCTCGTCAATGCCAGGAATGAAGACTGGCATTTTGGAGGAAGCAGGAGGGTTGGTTTCTGGGAACTGGAGGTTACGCCTAAAACTGCCTTTTTCTCCCAACAGTCGTGGAACCTTTGACCCAGAATGGCCAGGCAGACACTGTCAGCAGCACCGAGAGGTCAGCTGAAGGAGCCCTTAAATGAGGCAGCTCAGCACAAATACTCTCCCCAGTTGGATATTTCCCAGAGAGCTCTGGAGACCTGGATCCGGGGAGGGCAGGACCTGCCTCACCTGTGGCTGCAGAGGAGCAAACCCCGAGAAACTGTCTTGATCCACCACAGATGCCACCACCTGAAATCGAGGAAGGGACGTGTGAGGGCTCTGCCAGCACTGTTTCCCCATGCTTCCTGGCCTTCCCCAAGACTCCCCCCTTTCTCGCACCCCGGATCCATTCTTATGGGAGCGTGGTCCCAGCGGTGGACAGTGGCTAAGGGATGGATTGCTGACCCTCTGGGTTAGAAGTTCCAGGAACTCAAGGAACCAGTACCTGCCCAGCTCTGCTGCTAACCTGGCAGGCTCTCTCTCTTTTTGCCCCCCCCCCATTTTTTTAGAGAGGAAGACAGATGGGGGGAGGGGCAGAGGGAGAGAGAGAGAGAGAGAGAGAGAGAGGCAGAGCCCGACATGGGGCTCGATCTCACACTCCTGAGATCAAGACCTGAGCTGAAATCAAGAGTCAGACGTTTAATGGTCCGAGCCACCCAGGCGCCCCCGTACTTTATTGCTTTTAATGGTCATGTCACTGTATGGCTACATCACATGTTTATCCACTCATCCGCTGATGGGCTTTGGGGTGTTTCCCCTGACCTAGGTGCTCTTGAACTCTGCTGTTCTGCCAGCCACCCAGTCAGTGGGCAGTGTTAGCCCTACGGATGTGTCAAAGTCAAGTGCAGTTTTGGAAAGGGGCTGCAGGCTCACTCTGGATCATCCCTGAGAGGAGTTCAGACCTGGATTTAAAGGAGTCCAGTTTACAAAAGAGTCTAATCAGAGGTCTGTGGCAGTGGGGCTAGAAAGAGCAGCAAGCCAGGAGAATGCCGTGCCCGTCCGTTTCTCTAACATGTTTTCTCCCCATTTACTGAGTGCCCTGTAGCTGTGTTTTCTCCCCACCGGCTCAGTCCCCTGGACTCAGCATCCGCCACTAACCCTGTGGCTGTCACCCAGGGTCAGGCAGGAAGGGAGCAACGAGAGGAGCCAGAGACAAAAAGCTAGGAGCCTTTGCCCACCCCTCAGCGAGAGCTCCACGCTGCCAACAGTCCCGGGCTGCCGTCCCAGGACAGCACCGCAAGGGGGGGGTGCCCCCGTCCCCAGAGTCGGTCCCCACCCTCGTCCACGCAGGGCCCACATAGGAGCCTCCGGGGAAGCTGACGGAGCCCACTTACTGTCGCCTTGCCCAAGTAATCCTTCTTGGCCAGCTGAGCCACTTGCCTCTCGTTTGGCCGAAACAGCCTGCCCACAGGGATCACCACTGGCTCATACAGCTTCTGTTTCTGTAACACACAGGGCATGGCGTTTTCTTACCTGCAAAACGGGGGTCATGATGCGCGTCCCGCCTCCCTCTCTGAATGGATGCAAAGGTTCACTGAGATGACCTCACAAAAGCAGGTTTTCTACATGTGCAAAGACTGCACTTGTGATTATTTCCAAAGGTCTAAGGTGGGAATACTTGGTTTCAATATTGCCTTACCCTGAGAGGCTGTGTGGACAGCTGTCCCTGTTACTCCCTAGGGGGCTGCCCCTCCCCCTCTCCACGTGGCTCAGGCAGGGCGGGCACTCAGCACAGGTGGCACCACGACCACGAGGTGGCCGGGGTCCAAGCAAGGCCGGCGACAGTGCCATCCTGGGGCTGGCGGCGAGGACTCTGAGGTGGGCAAGCAGGCACAGCCTCTGCCACACACACACCCCCCCGCCGCCCCGTGCTGGGATCCAGCCTCCGGTGCCCTGCTCCCTGCACCCTCCCAGCGCCACCACAGAGGCCCCTGGACTCAGCACTGTCAGACTCAAGATCCGAACATGGAACTATACCCCAGAATCGGTGTTACCCAGAGCTTGGAGAAAGTATAAGCACCACGTCCACCGTTTCTCAATCCACCGAAACAAAGAGAACTCCAGCAGGGACCCTCTGGCCGCCCCCATCATCAGCGCACTCACCCAAACACATTCCATGGCTTTGTCAATTTTAGTATGTCTCGGCTCAGACTTCATGCTCATAGCCAAAGCTAAGTGTTCTTCTGCCTGTTTCCACTCCTCCTTCTTGGCGTACATGAAAGCAACATTATATAACACCTAGAAAAGCACAGGCCACAACACAAAACTTGAGGCTGCTCCAGATCTAGGCACCAGGGAAGCGCTCGCCTGTCTGCTCCTGGGACGTTGCCCGCTGACATCCCTCCCTTCCTCAGCTTTCCCGGGAATATCTCAAATGTAACATCATCAATCGCGTTACCAAGTTACGCCCAGCGCACACGGCGTTAGGAAAACATCACGTGATGCAGAAATCCAACATCATGTGCGTTATTCTTTCAACAACCGAATAGGTCAGGAGGGGACAAAAACTCTTGTGTTGGCTGCCACCGAGCCTCGGCTGAAAGACCAGACAGGTGCAGGGTGGGGGGAGAGAAGGTTCCAGATGCCTCAGCCTGCACCGGCAGCCGCAGCAGAACCTTGCCTGGAGCATGGTTACAGGTAACGAGACCATGGTACAGTTCCAGGGGCAGGAGGAAACTCTGCGGGCCAAGGTGCAGTGAGGCTAGAAAGGGACTCGGCACAAACCCAGGCCAGCACTTCCCCGGGGACAAGCGAGAACAGCACATTCGTCAAGAATCACGATTTCCCAGGTCTCGAGTTGGGTGGTAGGTTCATGAGCGTCTGCTTTATCATTATGCCTTACAACTTATTCAGAGAATCAAATAATCTTTTGGATGCATCGGCAAGATAAAACACACACACACACACACACACACACAAATGACTTGACTAAGTGAAGTAAAAAGATTCTCAAGCAAAGATGGGAAGGCAATGGTGAGCGGAAGAAGATCAGGATGACAGCTAACAAAAAGGGTTGACTTTCCTTCTTTCTCACAACAGTGCAGGGGCCCCAGCACCCTGTGTGGAGAATGAGCTGAATAGCCTGGAGCTGCTGCAAGTTTTTCTCAGATGTAAGTTATAGGAGTCACAGCCTGATGCCCCGGGTGTGTGGGGCTGCTTCTCCAGAACCTCAGAGAAGAGATACAGTTGGTCAGCTGAGGCCTAGTAGGGAAGGGGGTTGTTGGCTTTCTCTCCCTGGTGGAGGCTGTGCACTGCAGGGGTGAAGGGCATGGGGATCCCTGGGCTCTGTCTAATAGGTGGCCTCAGCTTCACTGTAAAATGGTGGCAGGAACCGTTGCCTGCTTCCAGATTGTTCTAAGAAATAAATGAAATAATTCACATCAAGCACCAAGTTGGGGTTTGCTTGGCACAGGGCGGGTATTCAACACGTATTTACTACTACCACGACTGTTACTTGCCATACTGTGTTGGGGCTTGCTGGGCAGGCGAGCAAAGAAGGGCTTTCATCCCCCAAGGGCCGCCTGCATGGTTTCAGGGAAGACTTTTGCAGAAGAAAGCCGTCTGGGGACGCTTTGTGTTTATAATCGAAAGGCTAAAACTATGAAGGACGGTGTGCTCCTGGAAATCGGTGCTGCCTGTTGGAGGTGGTGTCACTGTCGTTCTCATTGTCTTCCTCATCCACAGCCTCACCGAGGCCGCCCACTGGCCACCTATTATGGGCCACTTTATCTGCATGATCTCTAACCCCCAGCCCCTACCAGGTAAGCTGAGGCCTCACTTCTGTGCTTCCATGGTGTTTCCATTGCAATTGCCTTGTCATGACCCTCCCACCTCATATTACCCGTAACCGTGAGCTTCTGGGTGCTGACACCTTGTCTTGTGGACCCCTGGACCTCTGCTGCCTGACATCATAAAATACATGGAGTTATTAACGAGTGTGTATGAGGTAAGTACTCAGTCCTTCTACAGATGATGAGGAGTCTGAGGCTCAGAAATGACATATAACTCACCTACGATCACACAACAGCTAAGTGTTTGGCTGGGATTTGATACCTGTCTGCCTGATTCTAAAGTCTCTGCTGTTGTGGCAGCCAGCTTCCAAGATGGCCCCCAGTGATTCTCACTCCTTGGCCCTCACCCCCCTGTTCCCTCCCACATCCAATGGAGCTGACATGGATAGCCAATAAGATGTTATGGAAATGAGGGGCTGTGGCATTTGAGGCTAAGTTATAAAACACCTTGGTCCTCTGTATTACTTTTTCTTGGATCATTAGGTTCTCTGGGGAAGCCAGCTGCCATGTCCTGACAAGACTCAGACAGTATTATGGAGAGCTTCATGTGGCAAAGAACGGAGGCCTCCGGCCAACAAGTAACACTACCTTGCCAGACCCATAAATCAGCTTAGAAGTAGACTCCCCAGCCCCAGTCAAGCTTTCAGATGATGGCAGCCCGGGCTGACATCTTGAGTACAAGCCCTTGAGAGCCTGTAAGCCAGAACCCCCCAGCTAAGCCACTTTTGGATTCCTGACCCCAGAATATGTGAGATAATAAATGGTATTATTTTAAGCCACTGCATTTTAGAGTAATTTGGTATTCGACAATGGATAACCGATACACTTCTTCTCTATTATAATAGTCTGCCACCTACATCCACAATTTGGTTCAGGGCCCCAGCCAGATAAAAAGAATAGTTTATCAAGGCAAGTACAGACACGTGGCAGGACTGTGGTTCCGTGGAGTGAGTGGCTGGTGCTGGGTGACGGCACAGGAGCAAGCCCAGAAGCAGAGCTCTAGATTCCCTTCCCAGGCTGTTTCTGAGCCTTTTGCGTGCATGCTTGGTCGGCCCGGCCCAGCCCTGGCCACGTGCACAGGAAGGAAGGAGAACTCAGGTCCTTAAACATTCCTGTTGGGTTCTCTGCTCCCTTTTCTTAAGACCTTTTCCCACAACAGGCTTTTGTGACTCCATGACTGGAAAAGCCTAAGACTCTTCAAAAAGGATGGTGTGATTTCTCAGAAGCCAGGGTTGTACCCTGGGGGGAAGAGAGGGGTGGCGTTATACGTAGGAAAATGACTGAGGGTCTCATGGGGCCCTTAGGGCCTTAGACCGTGAAAACCCCAGCTTCACCTGCAGAGAGGCCCAGAAAGCCAGTATTTCCCGTCCCCGAGTCAGTTCAACTCCAACCACAGGGGAAAATTTCTCCCATGGGATTGTGCTTGGGTGCCAATGTTTTATGATCCTTTTTCTAGAGCTACTTGGTCCCCACAACCCTTTAGTCTGTGTAAGTGGTTCTCGCTGTGGGGGTGGGGGTGACTGGCAATGTCTAGAGATATTATAGGTTGTCATGTGGCTGGGGGGGGTTGCTACGGGCATCTGGGGTGCACAGAACAGTCCCCTATAACAAAAAGTTATCTAGTCCAGCATATCAGTAGTGGCATGGTCGAGAAACCTCTCTCTAGAAGCTGGCCAAATGTCAACCAGTCCCCTGAAATTCCCAAAGCCTCATTTCCCGGGACAGTGAGAAGTGAAGCAAGTTGCTAGCCCGCTGCAGGGCTGGATGGGGGCACTTGTCCCCAGGGGCCTGGGCAGCTGTGGACTCTATTATTAGCCCTGAGCAACCCTGGGAACGCTTGACTTTCTCCTGCCTGAGAAACTAAAGCAAGGGGACCTTTTTATCAGCAATTCTTCTAAATAAAGATCCATGATATTTGCAGGGCTTTTCGTTTTTCAAGCTAGTGGTGTATATTTGGAGCTTAGGAGGGGGGATGGGGAGTGTTGGTTGGAAAAAGCCCACAAGCCTGTGAAGTCAGCGCCAGTCATGCTTCTCCCTTTTGGTAATAGAGAAAGTCAGTTATCCTTCTATGGAAACCTTCCCTAAATGTGTGCTTTGAGCTGTTCTTTGAACTAGGGAGGACAGAATGGTGCCAAATTACCCTCACTCTTTCTTTGGGTATCAACCAAGCACACGAAGTGAATAGCAAAGAGCGTGGTCTGTAACTAGGAATGGAGCAGGGTTACGGCGGGTCTGGCATGGATGGTGAACCCATGATTTTGGATTTGTTAGTATAATGCTGAGCAAATAGCTTGTCAACCGGAACTATGCAAGTCATTATGAATACTTTCACAGGCCAGCACAGTCGGGTCCAGCCTCCCTTCAGAGAGCCCAACAGGCTCATTTCCAAGCGGTCCTTTGAACCCTGAAATAAATAAAATGCATGCCCCCAGGAACTGCAGACTCTGGAATGAGCCTGTAGTTATTGATCTGAGTCTTTTCTTAAGGGGAACTCTGAGTCCTGAGGCACAGGAGCCTTTTCCAAGCTCCCAGAGGTGTCAGCAGATCGCTGTGCATCCGAAAGGTCAGCTGTCCCCTCAGCCTCCGTGCGTTCCTGCCCCGGCTGGGCCCTTCCTCCTTACCTCACAGGCAAACAGCTTGAACTGTAGTCCCAGGATCTTGTAGTCTATCAGCTGGTTCCCTCGAAGCTGAGTCAAGGCCTCTTTAAGGTCTTTAATAGCTGCATCGTATCTGCGGGATAGAGGGCGATGAGACCACAGGCCAGGGCAGAGAGGTGCAAATGCGGGATAGAATGTGCTTCCCTTCCCCGACCTGTCTTACTGAGACAAGAAGCCTTCCGATCCCTTTTGGCCTGCTCTGGCTCTTTGCCAAGGCTGAGCCCCAGTACTCTATCGTACTCCGTGTGAGCGGCACCCGGGGCGGAGGAGCGTGCAACCCAGCGCCCCTGGGGTTCCACCCCCCAGACTCAGGCCATCACGGGTACTTTCTGTGGACAGCCTCGAACTCCTACCTTTCTGACTTCACTTCCCAGTAGAGCTCTCGTCCTCTCCTGAGAGCTCCCAGCTGAGCCAGCACCTGCTGCCCCCAAGGCCCTGTGGAGCGATTTGGAGCACTGCTCACTCCTTGCTCCCCACCGTCAGGCCAGGCTAGCCCGACCCAGCTCCGGGGAACCCTTCCAGAGCCGAGGACAGCACCCTCCTTCCCGGAGCTTTCTCCTTCGGCTTCTTCTTCTTCTTCTTCTTTTAAAGATTTTATTTATTTATTTGAGAGAGAAAGAATGAGAGACAAAGAACATGAGAGGGAGGAGGGTCAGAAGGAGAAGCAGACTCCCTGCTGAGCAGGGAGCCCGATGTGGGACCCGATCCCGGGACTCCAGGATCATGACCTGAGCCGAAGGCAGTTGTTTAACCGACTGAACCTCCCAGGCGCCCCTGCTTCGGCTTCTTTTGAGTCCAACTCTGCTCTTGGTTTCATGGTCTTCTTCGCCTCCTCCCCGCCCTCCCCCTCCACACACTTTGCAAAACAGAAGAAAGAAACCACCAATTAAGCCAGATGGCATCTCTAACACTGCTCCTGGCACTGCCCTTTTGCTTTGTTGGATTGGCATTGTGCCGGCTGGGGCAAGGTGTACAGGGCTGCTGTCGCTGGCTTCGTGACACACATGGGGCTGGGATGTGGGCAGGACCTGGGCCAGGTCTCCTGGGCCCGCCCTTGACCTCCACAGAGGCCCTGGTGGGAGAGTAGAGAGCTGCTGCTGGGCTGCAGGGGGTGGGACACTCGAAAATCAAGCTGCCCCCACCTCCTCAGCTCCCTGGCGCGGCAGGAACACATTTCGCTGTCTGGCCGTGGTTCCACCTGGGCCACAGAAATGGAGGTGCCGAGGCCACTGGCTGACCTAGAGCTGCCACGTGCAGCTTCTCTTGGAGGCAAGCCTGGAATTTGGACACGGGCTGGCGGTGCACGCCTGCACCCCAGGACAGGGGGCCGAGAGAAGGGGACCAGATCCACCAGCTCTGCTCTTCACCGGGAAACCCTGGCAAAGTACTTTCCTGGCCTCAGGTTCCATGTCAATAACAGGAGCGTATCACATACGAGGAGCATATCGCGTTTGAGGAGCCCATAATAGGAGGCAGTCGCTAGTATGTGGTCCCAGATCTAATTTCTGGAGTCAAAACCCCTGGACCTGAGTCCTAGCTCTGCCACGTCCGATCTGGTGACAGAGAGAAAGTTACTGAATTTGTCTGTGCCTGTTTCCTCATCTTTACAACTAGAGAGTAAATGGTAGCACATGCCTCCTGGGGCTGTAAGAACTAAGTGAGATGAAGCGTCCAGGTGCTCAGGACTGTGCTTGGCACACACAGTAATTTACTATTATTTTTATTATTTTAGCTCTAAAATTCTGGCGACTAAATTCATACACCAATCATTTATTATGTGCATAACACCCTACAGTGAATTAGGTATTATCTGGAGATAAAACCCCACGGTCGTCGTCGCAGCTGGAAGCGCGATCTCAACGGGCTGACCAGCAGGGTGGGCTGGCCTGACCACCCTGAGAACGCGTGCCCAGGGCGGCTGGGGCAGAAGCTAGCTGTTCTGTCACCGTTGCTGTGAAGTCAGTTGCTTTAGCAGTGATGGAAGAAGACAGGCTGGATCTGAAACAGGAGAGTGGCTTTCTCTAACCACATCCTTGTTGTTAAGACAGACGATTGTAAAACCTGTTAAGAACATGTGGGCCGCTCCTTAAGGAGCAAGAAACACGTCAAGTCATTTACCTGTGCTTACAGACACTGCCGAGAAGGGGGAGAGAGTAGGCATCACCGTTCCTCCTTTCTAAGCTGGGAGATTGGGTGACTTGACTCCGATTCACAGAGCCCAGAAGGAGGGGCAGACGGAAACGCAGGTGTCCCGTTCCTCGGGCAGATGCGATTTCCACTGTGTTCCACCGCCTGCCCGGGAGGTAGCCGAAGGTCCTCAGAGGCCAGGCTCGGAGCACAGTCAGCATTCACCCTCACATGTCAGCATTCGCCCTCACATGTGGCCTCCTCCCTGGCCCGCTGGCTGAGCAGGTGAATTTTAGCTACGAAGTAACACTGCCTGTATCTACCTGGTAATGAGCCAGCCTAACAAAATCCTCAGAATTTTCCCCTCCATCAGGTTCTAAAGATCTGGACCCCCTGGGAGGGAGAGAGAAAGAGTTGAGGAATTATTCAAAGTGCTCACTTTGTGTTAAGAAACGGGGTGGGGGGGGCCCCCTGCTAAATGTCTGATTTAAAGCATTGCCCTGACCGCCTTCTGCCCCCTCCCTTGTTTACCTGGAGCTGCACCCCCGGGGCATCGGCTTTGACACACAGCTCTGCTCCCCATTGTACAGGCTCTGAATAAGCTCAGTGTGAGATTCCCAAGTCGCATTCAGCCGGGGCGGCGTGCGGGTGGGCTGTGCAGCGGCAGCCCCCGCCACCCTCCAGCCCTTCTCCGAAAGTTCTCTATGGTGCCATTTGGAGCCCACAGCCTCCCCTAGGAGGCCGGGATGCTGGCAGCTTCCTGCGGGTTCTGCTGGGCAGGGGTGGGAGTGCTTTCTTCACATACCACGCCCCCCACCCCCGTGACACTTGCCCCCACACACGCCCTGGACCCCCTGGCTGCCCTGGACCCAGAGCCCCCATTCCTCCAGGTAAGGGCTCTGAGCCCCAGAGGGTGTATAATCCCCATCTCTGCAGTACTCCCTGTAGAGGTTTCTCAGTAATCACTGCTGTCGATTGTTCCTGCCCCACCAGTGCCCCCGCAGTCCAGAATCCTGCTGCTCACGAGCCTGTGTCCAGGACACTGGAAAGTTCTGGCAAGCTGAAGGAAGTCAAAATGTCAGACCCCTCCAAGACGGGCCTGGGGCTCAGGCCCTTTGCTGTTGCAAAGACAGCAGAGAGAGGCTTTGCCGTGTTGCCTCCGTGGGCCAGGTCCGTCTAGAGGGTTTGCCGATCCTCTCCTGGCCCTAAGACTCCTAAGGCCCAGAATCGGAACGGCCACCACGTAGAGCTCCCTTCCCCTTTCAGAGGACAAGGCTGGGTCACACAGGTGAGAGTCCGTCTTAGTCAGCACTGAGGCCCCACCTGCCTTCTCAGAAATGCACCAGAACTTTGTCCCGTGGAACTTCACAGTGATGGGAGCGCCGCACAACAGCACGTGAAGCGGGGAGCTGAGAGGAAAAGCACGCAGCACATCATCACCCTAAACAAGCCCCACTGCGATCCGGAGGGATCCCTAGCCCCCTCATTAGGAAGTAATCTTCCTGCATCCCCAACGGCACTTATTTCAAAATAATCTCTCCTAGCAAGTTCCTAGCATTTGTGACCTGTTTCCCCCTTTTAATTTGTAAGTTCCTTCAAGTAGAGGGCGTATTTTGCTCGCTTTTGTTTAATTTGTTTAATTAATTCAATGAGCACTTATTAACTACTAGATTAGACACAGAAATATAAGAGTGAGGGCGCCTGGGTGGCTCAGTTGGTTAAGCGACTGCCTTCGGCTCAGGTCATGATCCTGGGGTCCCGGGATCGAGTCCCGCATCGGGCTCCCCGCTCAGCGGGGAGTCTGCTTCTCCCTCTGACCCTCTTCCCTCTCGTGCTCTCTCTCATTCTCTCTCTCTCTCAAATAAATAAATAAAATCTTAAGAAAAAAAAAAAAAAAAGAAATATAATAGTGAATAACTAAAGATTTCTTCTCTGAAGAAACAGAGTAGTCAAGGAGACAAATACATAAGCCAACACCTGTCACAGAGTAGATGGATTATTTTAAAAGGCACAGAAGAGAGTGGTCGCCGCCCTAGGGCAAATGCATGGAGGATGAGTGAGCGGGTCGTCAGCTGCTGGACCACATAGGAACAGCCCAGGGAACTCTATCCTATAGTCCTGGGATCCACTGGAAGTTCTTAAGTGGATCACATTTTTTTTTTTTGTTTTTTTTTTAAAGAAGCTCACTCTGGAATAAGATAAGACTGGGGACTGGAAAAGCAGTTTGGAAGTGATTTCAATAGTGCTGGTGAAAAGGAGGGTCTAGACCAGGGCAGGGCTGGTGGAGAAAAATGGGTGGATTTAAGAATATGAGAGGTCAACTTGACAAGGTTTGGGAAAAGAGACATTCTGGGTTGATACCAGGGAGAGACTTAGCAGCTGGTTGGCTACAGGTGGGGGTCAATGCTATGGGAGAGGGTGAGATCCCTCAGGGCTCATGTATGGATTTTCAGTGGACACTGAACCCCCTGAAATTGTACGTAGAAGGGTGTATGTGCTTGTGTGTGCTCCTTCTGGAAAGACTGCCCATACATTTTGCCATTAAACAACCACGGCTGGGGCCCCTGGGTGGCTCAGTCCGTGAAGCGTCTGACTCCTCTCTTGATTTTGGCTCAGGTCATGATCTCAGGGTCCTGGGACTGAGCCCCGAGTGGAGCTCTGCACTCAGTGGGGAGTCTGCTTGAGATCCTCTCTCTCCCTCTGCCCCTCCCCGTGCTCTTGCACACATGCTCACTCTCTCTCAAACAAAATAAGTCTGAAAAAAACCCAAAAAAAACCCAACCACTGCTGTTGTGACTAAAGGGGAAAAGAAAGAGCAGAGCCTTGGCAGGTGGGGACACAAATGCGTATGGATGAGCAAGAGACAACTAGGCAGTTCAGAGTCGAGAATGGTGCCTCATTTATATTATTCCCTCAATAGACAGTTGCTGAGTTGAAGATGAGCTTTGGTAGATTTTTCTCTCAGATTTAACTATTATCAACCACAATCCAGTTGAATCCTAGGTCTCATTCCTAGATCATTCTAAGATCTGTCTGCTTCGTTCAAAATCTGAGCCTTTCAGGTTCTGGGACTTGTGGGCCTTTTTCTGTAGAAATGTCTTCTAGGAGCCTTCCGTCTTCGTCAGTTGTTTCCCCCCATCACAGGCTGTTAGAGCTAACTAAAGGATGGCCTTAGAGCTTGTCTTTTGAGATTTAAGATCAGCTGGAGGTTTGGTGCTCAGGCCTCCCTGCATATTCCATCCATCTGGAGAATGTAACGATGAGGGAAGGGGGAAGGAGAAGGAGAATAATGTTAAGAAGGGAGAGAGAGGCAGGACGCCACCACAAGGTAAATGCTTGTATATAGCTTCCCGCGATCCCTGGCTTTCTCTCCCTAGACAGCCTCTGTGTCTGTGGGTTTTCTCTGGGAAGACTTCATTCCTGCCCTTCCTCGTTCAGGTGATTGCATCTACATCCTGCAAGTCCTCTGAGCTTCTTGTGGTTGTCCCTAGCAACAGCTGAGCTCAGCAGCTTTCCAGGCTGTTTCTGACTAGACCCTGGGATCCAAGCCTCTCAAGACTGCACAGGATGAGAGTCTTGTCCCTCCCCGGTGCCCAGATGCTCTCTGCCATCTCCCCTCTGCTCCTTCAACGCCCCGCTGCTCATGCTCTCTCATTCTCTCTCTCTCTCTCTCACACACACACACACACACACAACACCACCCACACCATGCCCCCACCACCATTTTCACTGTTTGAAAGTTTTTCTTTAGGCTGAGCCAAATTCTCCTTCCCTAGAACTTGTGCCCACTAATGGAACCATTTCTACAAAGGGAAGTTTGCCATCCCCTAAGACATTTTAAATCAATGCTTAGCATATTTTTCCTTTGTTATTTGTATGTCTCTTTTCGGGGTATTGGGGGGGGTGGGCGAGGAGTGGGAATTGAGATTTACTTTCATTTTCTATTTCTTTGTTTTTTTTACTAATGATTTCATGTTGACTGTAAACACACCAGAAAATACAGATCGGCTGATGGAGGACAATTGAAATCCCTATAACATCACCACCCAGAAAGAACTACTGGCAACGTTTTGGCCTGTGGCCTTCCAGACCAGTCTGTGAAACAGAAATGGGATTGTGTTATACACACTGTTTTGAAATCTGTGTTTTAAATTTAACATCTACTATGAACTTTTTTCCGTATTAATATATATGCCACTTATTTATCTGGATTGGTATATCCTCATACATAGAATGTTAATAGGTTGTAGTTTTCATTCTGGTGTCTAAATTATATTTTACCGAATGGATTAAAGCAGCCTTTTGAAAACACATCCTGTAGGAATGAAGGACGGTCTTGATGTGGTTTCCTGCTAATCCTCATAGTGTGATAGCTCACTCTTTCCAGCAGAAGACCCTCACGGGTGTTCCCTTGAAGGCCAAAATGTTGACAACTGGCACTGTCCAAGCTATGACCCATCAGGGATGCTGGGGAGGCCCCACACCAGCTGAAGGGAAGGCCTGTGGTGGTTCCGTAGGCTCTCTGTGTGCTATGACCCCACTAATTTCTAACTGGGTGGCAGGTCTGCCTTCCCTCTCTCCTTCCCTGGGGAGGGCTTCTGCCTCGTGCTGACTTATTGCATAACCCCCCCCCCCGCCCCGCCCCCGCCCAGAGAAGGTCAGTCACACTTCCCAACAGAAGCTGGAAAGATACTTCACAAACACCAAGCCTAGCACCAGCAAGACCCCGTTCCGGGCTTCTCTCCAAACTTCCCCAGCTTGCGCAACGCTGGATCGCTTACTTCTCCATGTGGTAATAGAGCATCCCTCTTTGGAAGTAGGCCACCGCCAAGTGCTTGTCTCGGTTAATGCTTTTCGTGAAGGCCTGTGGAGAGAAGGGTCCAGACGTGGTCCAGGAGCCAGGCAGTGAAGAAGGCGAGATAAGCCCAGAGGGAGAGGCAAAAAGGGGCACGAGAAGGATGGGTGTCTTGAAGGTGACAAGAGACTCAGAGGTCAGGCACCTCTGTAAGAGGGAGGGGTTAGTACCTGCCTTTCAAGATTACTGACCGGATTAAAATCATGAAAGTAACGAACGACACAGGAAAACAATTAAAATGCTATATACAGTATTATATTGATTTAGTAAATGAATATCATGCAATTAGAATAATAACCAGAACGCATATAAAATGCCGGCAGTAAGGCCTGATGCAGGGAACCAACGAAAGGCTCAGTGACTGAGAGCCAGAAGTAGAGGAACGTGAGGACAAATCTCTCACAGCTCGAGGGAGGCGACGGCAAAGCTGTGCCCAGACTGGCTGCCGTGCTTGGCCCATCTCTCCCTCCCGACAGTGTGCACTCTGTGTCCAGCAGCCCCCGGAATCTGGGGTGCTGTTCGCTCCGCCTCTGGGGGGAGGTGGGGACTGCAGTCCTCCTCCCGCCAGACGTGAGGCCCTCGCCTGCTCCCGTCTGCCCACCCTGGGGCCCGACATGGACCACCTGCTTGGACCGTATTCCAAGTGGCTTCTCTCTTCTGTCTTTGCTCACTGGCTGGTCACGGCCACGGCCAGGATGCTGGGGAGTCAGTCATCTGTCCACACCCCCTTGCGGAGACTGGCAGTCACGAGGGGGGAATAAGAACTGACATCTACACAGTGGTGTGAACTGACACAGCATCTACTAGTTGGTGCCTCACCTCACCCTCATGATGTTTGTCCCCCTCAGGAAACTGAGGGCCAAAAGTCTTCGTGACTTGCCAGAGACCCAGGTCCAGAGACAGACAGAGCTGGGATCTGATCTTTGATCTTCTGCTCCCAAACTCCAAACCCTGTCCGGCTTACCCTCACCCATCCAAAAAGTGATCACGGAGAGGGCTCAGCCCCATACTAGGGACTATGAGAGAGAGAAAATATTTGAAAGAGATGCCGAGACACCCCACAGTGTGCCCTTGACAGACATCATTAATCAATCACGGTATGACTTCCTTGTGCCAGCCACAGAATCCTAAAAAAAAGTGCCCTGCCTAATTGATCCGCATTGTCCCATGAGAGGAAACCTATTTTTCTTAAAGTGCCTCCTCTTGATCGCTAGGGCAGGCAAAGCTCAAGCATAGGAAATTTCCCCGAAAGACCCAAAAGGGGCTTTCTAATAGGTGTGCAGCAGTGAGATGGAGATCCTGTAGCCAGCAGGAGTTCATAGAAGAAAGCATAATGAGGGGAGTCTTCATAAAGGTGCTAAAGAATGATTCCAGAATGATTTGAATTGAATAGATGGAGAAGAAAAGAGCGCCTGGTTCCCAGACAGTGTCCCCAGAACCACCTGGGGAGCTTGTAAAAACCGAGGGCTGCTCAGGCCCCTCCCCAAGCCGATTCAATCAGGATCCCTGGGGGTGGGGCCTGGGCAACTTTTGTTCTTTGAAAGCTCCTGAGAGGTTTCTAAAGCGCAGCCTGGGTGGAGACCCACTAATGACAAAGGCATAGAGGAGGAGGCTCCGGGGAGAGGCACCGCCACTCACCTTCTCTGCCTCAGGCATGTTTTCCAGGATTGTCTGCATGCAGCCGATGTTGAAGCAAATCCTGGAGTGGGGGTCCTGGACCGCAGTGAAGGCATCCAGGGCTCCCTTCCAGTCCTTCTTGTCGGCTGCCAGCACCCCTTCATTCCAGAGGCTGATGGCCTCGGCCAGGGACATGGTCAGGCGCACGCTTGGGGGCCGGGAGGCTGCCAGGACCCAGGGGGAGGGCGAACAGGTGTCTCCCTCGGCAGGGCTGTGCCCAGCTGGGCCTGCACTTTCCAAGCGTGATGCTCAGAGTGGGGTCCAACCTCCCTTAAGACAACTTCTCAGTGTTGCAAAGGCTCAGGAAATGTCCCCACCTTTTGGCAACTGACGCACAACCCTACCATGTGAGGGAAAAGGAAAGAGACAGAGAGGGCGGGCGGCTGGGGGGAGGAGTGTGGGGGGAGGAAGTACATCAGATGCTGCCTGAGATGGGTCACTTCCCCAAAACGCTTCTGCTCTGTCACCCAGCTGTCCTCTGACATCAACCCCCCCCACCCCCTCACCTCCGCTTTGGGGCAGCTTTTGGTCAGGTCTCTGCCCCCAGGCTCAGGGCAACCTTGGCAGGTGGATGCGCCTTCTTGGGCCTCCATTTCCACACACTCATTAAGTGAGGGTGTTGGAGGAGAGGCTAGTTCTTTCCAGTCTTACATGAATTCCCTGCTCACTTTCTCATTACCTCATAGACTATCTGGATAGAGGTTTTTTTTTTTTTTTTTTTTTTTTTTTTTAATCTGGAGGTAAAATGAGCAATTAACACATTGCTGATACAGGATGGTCTTGGGTGTCCATCTGGAACTGAGATAACTTTTATGAACACTTAGGCAGCTCAGAGGCGACCAATGTCCTGCAAATGTCAAAATTAGGAGGCAGATATGATGCCATAGGGCTTGTAGGCCCGAAGATGTGAGAATCCAGAAGGCTCGCGTGTGTCTACACAGATCATCCATCCCCTGTGTTTGGAAGCCCTTCCCACCTTGCTTCTTTGCCTGGCAAACCCCTCCACATCCTTAAGGCCCAGGGAAATGTCCCCGCCTCTCTGAAACCTAGCACCACGCTCCAGCCACTAGGGAGACTTTTTCCCTCCTTTGGGCCACCTCTTCCCTACCGCTTGGGTTGTATTTGTGGCAATTTATTTCTTCATCTGCTCAACTCTTAGATCCCCTGAGAGCCGGGCCCACGTCTTCTCATTCTAGGATCCCCAGAACCAATACTCAATAAATGGTGAAGGGCTGTCCCAAAAAGAATTTAGAAATCATTGGCAAATGACCCACAGGTGACAGTGATGCTAGAAAGCGATACTGTGACTCCATCCAGTGAATGAGTAATCAAAACTTGATTAGCATGCTGACTATTCCTAGGAAAACCAAGTGGTCTTGGAGCTAAGCTAGATTTTTATTTAAACTGCTGCTGTTGTTCCTTATTTTTTTATTTTATCGTCCTAACTGGCCACATAGAACTGTCCTTGAGCTGACCCCCATGGCTTTTCTAGCCTTATTTTCCAGACTGTCCCTCCACAAAGCCCTGCAAACTCTATTCCCTGTTCCCCTCCCTGTACGTCTGCATTTCCTGCCTCTTTGCTTTGGCCCAAGCTGCTTCCTCCCCCTGGGCTGCCTTTTTCATGTCTGCACCTTCGAACCCACCTTGCACAGTGCATGCTCCAAGATCACCCCCCTTCAGAAGCCACCGGGAAATCGGGCTCACCTGAAAGCCCCCAAACTGTGATCTCGCCTTCTTCTCCCATGGGGCGCTTGGTCACTCTCCCCCAAAGTAGAGTTCTGTGTGTGCAGGTGCATCTTAGCCCCTCAAACAGACCGTACACTTCCGGGGGAAGGTCCTGGGACTACCCCAACCTTGTAGACCCAGAACGCCAGCCATGCTGTCATACTCAGCTCTGTCCTCTTCTCCTCCACCCTCTGGTTGCCAAGCCACTGTCACTCCTCACCCGCCTCATTCCCTCTGTCCGTTCTGCATCCTGCAGCCAGACTGGGGTTTTAAAACACAAGTTGGATCACGCGCCTGTTTTGAAACCTTCAAGTGCCTTCGGGTTGCTCTTAGAAGACAAAGCAGACTCCGTCTCATGCTGCAGACAGGACTCCGCAGGCTGCCGCATGCCCTTTCTGTGCCATTTTTCCTCCTCCCATCCTCTCCCCCAGCCCCATTTCCTTCCTGGGTTCTCCAATGAGCCAGGCCCGTTCCCTCTGCCTGGAATGTTCTTCCCCCAACTCTCTGCCTGCTGGTTCTTATTCATCTTTCACTTCCTCTGAATGACCTTTCTTGACCATGACCTCGCTATGATCATCCTACGATGTCTCTCACAGCCATCAGTTCTCTCTGGTCATGGTGTGGTTTTGTCTTTGTTTCTTTGTTTTTTAAGTAAGCTATACACCCAATGTGGGGTCTGAGCTCACGACCCTGAGATCAAGAGTTGCATGTTCTACCGACTGAGCCAGACAGGTGCCACGGGTCATGGTGTTTGTCCCAATTTGTAACTGCATATCATCTGTGAGATTGTTTCTGTGGCCCATTCTGGAGACAATCATTACTATCATCTTTAATTACAACAGTTATTGATACTGTTAGTGGATGGCCTGCCTTTTCAGCTGCTCTTCATTCCCCTTCTTCCTTTTGGTAGAACCCCACTTTTGTTCAAGTCTCTGCTCTCCTGAAGCCATGTGCTTCAGGGAAGGTAAGCCCCCAACACTGTCCCAGGGAGTGGTTTAGACACAAGCCTGAGATACGGTTCTGGTTAATAAGACATTAGGGGAAGTCTATGAAGGGTTTCTGGGAAAGATTTTTTTCCCCTCTCACTAAGAATAATAATAATAATAAAAAGTCACATGGGAAGAACCAGTTGTTGTTTCTCGCCTAGACAGTACTGTGAAGATGTGCCTAGAACAGTGGCAGCTTTCTTTCTTTTTTTTTTTTTTTAAAGATTTTATTTATTTATTTGACAGAGAGAGACACAGCGAGAGAGGGAACACAAGCAGGGGGAGTGGGAGAGGGAGAAGCAGGCTTCCCGCGGAGCAGGGAGCCCGATGCGGGGCTCGATCCCAGGACCCTGGGACCATGACCTGAGCCGAAGGCAGATGCTTAACGACTGAGCCACCCAGGCGCCCCAAGTGGCAGCTTTCTTGTGACCATGAGGAAAGCCAGCTGAGATTGTACAAGCCAGAATCTTGAGGAAAAGGAGATGGAGAACTAAAACAAAACAAAACAAACCCTGGATCTTCAATGATGTTGGTAAGCTCCTTCTTGTTCAGTGAGGTAATTAATATATTTGTTGTTCAAGTCACTTGAAGGGGATTTTCTGTTATAGTTTTAAACATTCTAACAGAGGGGCACCTGGCTGACAGCCAGGAAGTGGGCAGGGAGACCTCATGTATTATGTATAAACTTCGCCTGGATTTCACAGAGAGCATACAGAATACCCAGCATGGATCCCATTGTCCAGAAATGCTAGTTGAAAGCCTCAGTGTGAAAAGTCTTCCTTCTCCAAGAACACATCATAAGATAGTCCTGTCTAATCTACCATCATATTAGTTTTCTATTGCTGCATAACAAATTTAGTGGCTTGAAATAACACACATTTACTCTCTCACAGTTTTCATGGGTGTAGAGTGTGGGCATGACTTAGCTGGGTCCTCTGCTCAGGGCCTCACAAAGCTGAGATCAGGGTGTAGGCCAGGCTGCATTCTTATCTGAAGGCTTGACTGGGGAAGGATGTTCTTCCAAACTCCCTCATGTTATTGGCAGGACTGCAGCTGTAGAACACATGATCCTTGCTTCCTCAAGGCAGAAATCGAGAGAGGGTGTCTGCTTCATTGAATCTCTGACCACTAGATTCTCTTTTAAAGGACCTGTCTGATTAGGTGAGGCCCAACTGAATGCAATTGGCTTTTTCAATCCAGTGTCTTCTCCCCATAGAACCCATCCAGCAAATGTGATCTAGCCACAAAGCCAGAGAGATGTGGTTTGTATTTTCCTTGGACAGGCTTAATACTCCAGGGCCTTTCTCTCTAGGAAGGGATAATTCATTTTGTGTTTCCTCAGCATATTACCCCCAACCATGCAGATTCCAAGTCAGTGGGTATCCAAGGGAAAATTCCACTCTAAACAAGACAGTTACTAATATAGAAGAAGTAGAAATGGACCATGTCATAATACAAACAATGGGGATGTACAGAAGAGTTAGAAATGTACCTTGCATTTAGCAGAGTAGAATTTTTAAAGGTTCTCTTGCTTTCCCTGTAGTGTCCCTAACAACTAAAACAGCATCTGGACGTATGATAAATATTTGCTGAATGAATGAGTGAGTAAAGAGTAGACACTTATTAGGTTGTGTTCCTCCCCCTGCTTCTCTAGGAACTGCCCCATCTAATCCATAGCAGGAGAGTAGGCCCTGTGGCCACATTTGAACAACGTGATTTCTGGCTGGTTGGATTGTAGTGGGTGTCTGACAAACCGGACCAGTTAGGTTCCATCTCCTGTGGATTGGAATTTAAGACTGAGAGATAGCAGGCTCTTCTCTTTGGGGAGCTGGACACAGACATGTGAACTTAATAGCTGTGGGTCTATGATGTTCTGCTATGAGGTCCAGGAAAGCAGAGGAAACCAGTCTGCATAGAAAAAGAATGAAGCAGATGCCCAGTGAGAATCAGAGACAACAGTCAGAGACAGTGAAACCCAGTGACTTTCCAGCCACTGATTCCAGGATTTCCTGAGCCCCCCTCAAATTCCTGCCTTTAGCCCCTAGGAGACATTGATAGGCCCTTATAATAAATGTCAGTGTTGGCTTAGGTTTGCTCTAGTTAGTTTTGTTGTATGTCAAAAAAAGAGAGACTGGGCAAATAAAAAACAAAAAATAGATGTGCATACATGGCCCAAGACTCTAAAACAATCAATTGTACTGAGAGATGGGAGATGCTCAGAAACAAACATAACCACATAGTAATCAGGGATCCCAGTGATAAGAGAAATGGAGAGGCACTGAGACTCCACTGGGGAACTCTCTCAGAGGCTAGACATGCACAAGTGATGGAGGACATGGCTCTTGGCCAAAGACAAGTCTAAATGCTGTGCAAAGAGCACAGGAAGCTGAAACCCAGAGTGAGCTGAGGCTGCAAAAAATACTAGGGACAACACAAAGAGCTCCTTGGTGTCTGAGGAAGAGCAGGGAGGGTCACTGCTTGGTGCAGATGGCATCACGTTAACAGATATCAAAGAGAAAAAGAACTCCTCAGCTTCTACTTCGTTCCTGAGTTACACAGAGAATGAAGACCCAGACAAAGGACAGTGAGAAAGCTGATAGCTGCTTTAAATAAATTCCAGTTATCAATTTCAGATTCACTAAAT